GGAAAGGATTTAAAGAAAAAACAGTCATTAAAGCCTTCATCGGATAAATCACTTTCAGAGGAAGTATGTTGTGCTTGACTGTTTGAGCAGTGACCAGCTTGGCTTACTGGTATTCCAGGAGTTACGATGACTTGTAAGAAGGGGAGTCCCCTTAAAGTCTGTGGAAATAACTCTGTGTAGAGGGGAGTAGTGGTTACTTTGGGGGTAATTTCAGCCAGCAAATGTTTTTCGAGCATTGACTACGTGTAGCCACAGAGTTCCAATTCTAAGAAATGCCAGAGAACTTCTTTTAAAAAATTGTATATTTTTAATTACTGGCAGTAGTTTAAAATTAAATAAGCTATTGGCTGGCATGCAGTAATATTTAATCTCAATTGTATTTTTCTAATTTAAGGGTTTTTATTGTGATAGATTTTTGTAAAGAACTTTGATAGAGGGTTTAATTTTGTAGATAAGAAAATGTCTTTATAGTCTACCAGAGGCTTGCTATATTGCTTTCTTTAGAGAAACTCATTTTGTTTCCCATAGCATGTTATTCAGAACACTGATCCTGTAGGATGCACTTTGAGCGAAAAGAATTATTTGATGACTTACCAAGTTGAGATACCGTGTACTCAAACTGCATGGAAAATCACATGTACATTAGCTTTAAGGCTTTGGAAGTCCTGCGCTGAAGGAACTCTTTAAACTCTGTATTGAAACCAGTGTTTCTGTATTTACTTAACTTTATTACAGAGAATTTAAAAAAATGTATATAATGCATACTAACAGCTTTGAGAATTACTATTCTATGGCCATACTTAGAACAATGTTGTGTAGAAGATTTTTTTCAGGTTAAAGTCTTGACTTTTGCTGTGTCTCTTCTTTCCCCTTCCTGATAGAAGATGCTGTTGTATTGCTGACGAGGCCGTTCAGTATTCTGGCCTCTATCTTGCAAATCCAGCGTTTGTGGCTTTGTGATTTCTTTTTACAAATGTAGCAACCTTTCTGAGATACACTATGGTGTACTGCTTAAGTGCATGGATTCTAGAATCAGATTGGAGAACGAACATTTAAATCCTGGCATTATTATTTATCCTGGTGTACTTTATTTGACTGTCCTGTGCCTCAGTTTTACCGTCATAAAATGGGAACAATACTAGGTACCTATCTCATAGAGTTATTGTGAGAATTAAATCTGAAATGCTTTTAGAGTAGTGCCTGGCACATGGTAAGTGGTTCATAAGTGTCAGTTATTATATACAACATGGTTAGAGAGTG